TGTGCTGTGATCGCGTGCTATCGCCCGTCCGGCCATCCAGCCGTCCGCGCGCTTGGTTAGTGGCGTGTTTTCGTGTGAAATTTATTTATTTATTATTTTCGCAGCCGCAGACACGAACTACATTGGCGCATTTTTTATGTGAAAGTTGGAAAATTGAAAAATTTTGCGAAATTGCAAAAATATTTTTTCACTAAGCTTTGTCGCGCGCGCGCTCGTTTGTGAATTCGTTGCTGTAAAAATTTACACCTTGCACCTAAATAAATAAATTGTGAGGTGCGGCGTGCGCGCTGCAATGGCGTGTACGCGACCAACCAATGTGAACGGAATCTATGTGTGGCAGGCAGTAGGCGAGTAAATTAAAAATATTTCCAAAGGAGAAGAAGAAAAAAAGCGAAATTCTAAAACGATGCAATCAAGCGGAAAGAAAGTGGTTAGGCACTTGGATAGGCAAGGCAGGCTGGAGCTGAGGCGTGCGCGGACGGCGAACACTCGGGCTGGAAAAAAGCCACAAACTGTCTGCCCAATAAAATATTTAACTGAAGAATGAATAAAAACATTTTCACATCAAAGCGATAATTTAAAATGGGCGCGTAAAGTGAAACGTAAATGGAAGTAAATTGCAAAACGCTGATTGATATGAAAAATGCAGACGATAAATAGAAATCGAAATAAAAAACAAATAAACGCAACTAACAGCCAATTACCGAGAGAATTGAAAATAAAGTATAGCACTTTTGTTTTTTTAAATTTGCATCACAATTCTAAAGTGTACTAAGGCTACTTGAAATCGCATTTAAAAAATTATCCACTTGAAAATCATTTTAATTCCCACAATTCATAATCATAAAATCCATTAAAAGCTAAAATTAATTGAAGGTCAACACCGCTGCTTGAGTGGATGCGCATAATCGGATAATTCGAACATTTTTTTCTTTATTTATTCATAAACAGCAAATTTATTATTAAAGCCAAAGCATGCCCTGATTTATTATTTTTTACACCGTCGCGACGTGTCGTCTATGCACTTACATGTATGTACATATGTGTGCATAACGAAGAGTGGACAGCAGAGGAGAAAGGAACAAAAAAATCAAAACACAGCCGGCCTGCATTTAATAGAAGTGCCGTCGAAGAACAGCTGTTGGCAACAACGGCTGCTGCAGTGCTTACATAAGTACATATATGTATTAAAATAAAGATGTGAATTTAATGAATCAAGCAAATACTATGCCACTTAAATGGTTCCCAAAGTCATGCAGATGCTTACATCCAAGCGCCGCAATAGCTGCGACGCAGCTGCATTTCATTTATTGAATTCGACTTAGCTTTGAAGGCAACAAGAAGCTTAGAGAAAAGGACGAATTAGAATATGTTTGTAAATAAGAAAAAAGTAAGAAATTATGCATGCAAAATTCTCTTTTTTTTTGATGTAACAGAAATTCAAGTAACTGCAAAACGCAAGTTTCGGTAAAAACGGGTAACCAATAGCAAATAGGTATAACAAAGAAAAATTCATAATAAAAACAAAAACTAGAAATAAAACAAAAATTAGCTACTTATAAAAAATAAAATAAAGACAAACAAAAATTTTAAAAATTAAAAATTCACCATTACGAAATGTTCTTCGCAATAATTGTATGTAAGTAAAATGAAGGCGTGAAATTCAAAAAAAAATAAATAAAATATAACAATATATAGGTAGTAAAAAGTCAATCTCATCTAGAATAGGTGTGTATTATTTTCATTTAAATAATCTCCTGTACGTATTGTTTAAGCACAAACTGCAGTTGCCGGATAAAAATAGATTATTACCATAAATATTTTTCATAACTTTTTTTTCCTAGTGCCCGTAGTAAATCCTTAAAGTGGTAATATGTGATAAATTTTTCATTTCCTTGCTAGAGTTCTAGTATATAATTCTAGTACAGGTCAGATTATTCAAAATGTTACACACAGTGGCTGAGTGGTCAGAGGTGCGTGCTACCACTAGCTAGGCAGCATCTAAATTGGAAATATGTTTCCCAACAGCGGTCGCCCTTTGGCAGGCAATGGGCGAGTTCATTTCTGCCATGAAAAAAGGTGCTCATAAAAAAAAAAATATATATATAGGTCTCTCTATCTGTGTAACGTGCATCATAAATTGGAGGAGAAGCTCGACAAACTTCTTATATAAGATGACTTTAGCTTGACATGGCAGGGCCAAGAATTATTGCTCAGTTATGCATACCTTGCACTGCACTGCATATTTGGCATGCCACTTTTACGTAGAAATCAAAAAGCAACAGACTTCTACATATGCTATTCTGTGCGTTGGGTAGCCGCTTACACGCAAAGTTCATTTAACAGATTCGTTATGTGATGCATGTCTCATGCAACGCCAAGTATGCATAACTGAGCCATTAGAATGCGGCTTTAAGTTTCCCAGCATACATAAAATCTTGCTAGTTAGCCTGAGTTTCGTAAGCGCATTTCAGGCAAGTTCCATATCCCAGTTTCGAGTGAATTTTAACAACGCTCAATTTTGAATATTCAAAGAATTGGGGTGAAATTCACTCGGAAGTGAATTGCAGAGCCTTCCTACTACTTTTTTTGATCTAAAATTGAATGAAGAAAAATTTGTCTGTCATCCCTTGTGGTTCACAAGGCATTCTACTCATTTAAATGTTTGTCAATCGATTCTACTTTCTTAAATTAATTGTAAAGTTGGATCAATATTATACTCTTGCACAAAGCAGTTTGGCTCAACTCACTGCTATTCGTGTACCATCCGTGTTTAATTTGACAGGTTTCGTCCTGCAATTACTGTTTCTCCCCGGCTGGCTCATTTCCAAAGGCGATGTGAGTTTTCAAAAGAGCTCAAAAACAAGTCTACCCACGGAGATATCTGATAAAGTCGAAGACTTCCTTCGCCGATGTAAAATATCATGACATTTGTCTTTGTTTTTCATTCCATACCAGACTGTAAAGATTGCATTAAATATTTTAACACTATTTAAATTTGCAGTTAAAATTTGAAATAGAAGTAAGAAACTACATAATTTTAATAAAGAGCTAGGAAAAACGCAAGAAGCTTAACTTTTTCTGGCTAAACTTAAATAAAAAAACTAAAGAAGAAGTTACATTCCTCATGGTACACTTATGCATAAAATAATAGGCACAAATGATATTGTTTGCAAATTATTTGTATCTATTTAATTTTAATACTTTAAATTCACAATATACATACATATTTTGATTCATAACATAAACTATAAAAATAAAACTTTCAATGTTTACATACAAAATTTCAACATCAAAAAAATAAATTTTTTATAAGGAATAAAATACGCCACAACGTTGGGAAAAAACATTTCTCAAAAATCAGCGATAACACTATATAGCAAAAAAACAACTTGTTTTCTGGGAACTTAAAAATAATTTTTTACCAAAGGTTCTATTTCGAACTTCGAAGGCCCATATCTCGATTTCGAAGGCTGACTTCGAAAAACGGAGAAAATACTTTTTGTTACTTATGACTCAATCTTTTGAAGAAAATTAGTTTGGTTCAATACTCAGAAAACAAGTTGATTTTGCTCCGTAATTTGGATGAAATTTTTTTTTTGAAATGTGATTAATTTTGGTGAACTTTTGTTAGCTGTTGTTATGTGGTGTCTTTAATGGATCGAACTATATTTTAAATGAAAATTATTAAAGTAATTATACCAACATAAGTTGCGAACAATATCATTTTGAATTTTATATCTAATATTTTGTTCGTAAGTGTACCTCAAACGAAATTTGCTGAGTTATTCACATTTCTAAGAAATTGAGTTGCCATAAAATTCAATAACAGTGGCAATATTTTAAACACGATTGCAAAATTTTTTTCAAATTTGTATGGATCGCATTAAATTTTCTTAAGTGTATCATACAGGTCAATCATTTATCGAAAAGGTTTCTACTTAAACATTTTATGACGAAGAGAAAGTTTTCGACGCAGTCCAATCCACGAATAGCCCCCCCCCCTCGATTTAAGCCGAACGAACTATTTTTGAATCCTTACAAAAAATAGCAAATTTTATGATTCGCTTGGAAAAGCAGCAAAAGTTTGTTCGGAAGTACTGATTAAATTTATTTTATTTTCAGATGAAATTTCGATCAAGTGAAATTAGTTAAGAATGTACTTTTTTCTAAAACAATAAAAAATAAAAACCAAATAATCAGCATTACAAAAATAGATCACATCGTTTAATACAAAAATGCAAATCAAATTCACTTAAATCAACTCAGTGTAAAAATAGTGATTAATCGACATTAAATTAGAAGTAGAAGATTTTAGGAAATTAAAAAGTGTGAGAAACCTAAATTTTTTTTTCATAAAATAAATATAATTTAATAAATACCAACTAGCTTAAGCAATAATTGCAGAGCTAATAAGAAACAATGGGTAAAAAAATTAAAAAACTTCCATTATCTTCGAAAAAAGTATCACACTTATGCAGACCACGAAATATTTCCTAAAATTAAATAAAAGTCTAAAATCAATACCGCAAAATAATATGCTTGAATATAAAAGAAAAGAAGAATCCCACTCGCCTAACAATATTAACGGTAATACGCCAACTGATTTTCATTTATACATATTTGCAATTGAAACAAAGTGTGCTCGATATACATAAATGCCCACAGCTAAAAAATAATTAAATGTCAAATTAACTGCAGCTTCCGGAACAATATAGCAATTCTGGAAAAAGCTTGATTACCTAGAATGAACTGCACTAAACAAAACACCAACACTCACTCAACTGCAAGGCGAAAGCAAATGGGCCTGCCTAAGAAGTAATTTTCTATGCTAAGTAATAGAGCTAGCGATAATCGCCATTGTAAAAGTAATAGCCAGCATAAAAGTAAATATCATCACATTCACACAACTCCACCAACACCATCTGCAGCTCGAACAGCAGCAGCGGCAACAGAGGACCAAAAAGCTTTAACAACAACGGCAGCAGCAGAAGTGCAAAATGGATTATAGCCAATTAGATGCGAACATTAATGGCAACATTAATACGGGCAATATCAATACGAATGACTTCCTAGCCATATTCTCATCAACAAGTCCCACCGATGTGGCTGTAGCGCCTGCGCCGCCGGCGACGACCGCGTCAGGCGGCTGGCCGGGTGGTGGCAGTGGCAGTGGCGCTGGACTGCTGCCACTCGCTCGCAAGCAGCACGCACTAAACTCCGCCCTGCCCACCAACAGCAGCAACACCACCAGCTCGTTTGCGGCCAGCAGCAGCAGCAGCAGCAGCAGCGGTGCGCTACCAGCCGTCAGCAATGCAACATTACTCGACCCGCCACTACTTACAGTCGATGCCAGCGATGCCGACGGACTTAGTAATCTGCTCGAGAGCACGTTGCAGGGCGCCATCACCACACTCAGCCCGAATAATTATGTCAATGACAGTTACTACTTCGTGAATAGCAACTTTTATAATAGCAGTTCGATTTTGAATGGCATCGGCAATTATTCCAATCAAACGTTGACGGGTGTGACGGCCAACCTGACGAGCAACGTGACGGAAGTGCAATGGGACGGCCGCTACCCCAGCGGCTATACGCTGCCGCAAATTGTGATCGCTTCGGTGATCGTGACGATACTGATGATTATCATCGTGGTGGGCAATATGCTGGTCATCATTGCCATTGCGACGGAAAAGTCGTTGAAGAACATACAAAACTGGTTCATTGCCTCGCTGGCGGTGGCGGACTTCTTCCTCGGCCTCATCATAATGCCATTCTCGCTGGCGAACGAGCTGATGGGCTATTGGATATTCGGCAGTTGGTGGTGCGACATACACTCGGCCATGGATGTGCTGCTCTGTACGGCGTCCATAATGAATTTGTGTTTGATATCGTTGGATCGCTACTGGAGCATCACGAAGGCGGTGGACTATCTGAAGTCGCGAACGCCGGCGCGTGCAGCGATTATGATTGCCGCTGTGTGGATAATGTCCGCGTTGATTTGCATACCGCCACTGCTGGGATGGAAGAAGAAGATGCCGGAGGGACCGTTGCCGAAATGTGCGGTAAGTGATGTAGTATTATTTTACGTATACATATGTATGTATAGGTCGCCAGCTCAACATGAATGTATGCAAATTAAATTAATCGTAGTATGTAAAAATCTCGGTCATATTCGCGTATTTGAAGCGCTTTTTACTTTACTATTTATTTGCGCTGCCTGCAATTTACTTAATCACTTGCCTGCAAGTGTGAGTGCTTGTATCTCCGCAATTAAATGCCCCATTTTGCTCCAGGGAAGTCGCGTAGCTCGTTTATGCGCTCATCCGGTTGCTACGAAATTCGAAACCTGCAATTGCTTGCTGCTTTTATTCTTGGCACTGTGCAAATGAGTGCCGACAAAAAAGGCGTTGTCAGTTGGTGAGCAGCAGCAGCAGCAGCAGCTGACTTTGGCGGCTTTTATTTGTAGTAGATATTTAATTGGAGTCGCTCGGAAATTGGCGAAAATGATTTACGCCGATAAAACCTAACGAACTTAATTGCCTTCTGTGGACCGACCCATCAAATTGCCAAAGGCGATGCTGTCGCGACATGGAGGGGGTGAAATGTGTATTGGGGGGAGAAAACAAATTGTGTAACCTTCTAGCTGATAACTTGTCTTACGTGACAATATTATTTGAATGCACTTTGCAAAATGATGGCATGCAAGTGGATGGAAGCTTTAATGCCATAAAAGTAACGGTAATGTTGAAAATAGAGGTTCTCCTGTCTTAGTTTGGTTCAGCCAATTAATTTGAAGACCACATTGGAGGAGTCGGTTTGGGTTTCAGTTCAATTATGATCCACGCCACGATTATAGAAGAATCAGCGCGACGTTGGTGAGGTGTCACAAAAGTCAAATACATATGTATGTACATCCAGATAGTCCTAAGCCTTTAAAATTAAGCAAAGTAGAATTTTGGATATTTAAAAATGTATACAAACAATTTTGTGCATAAAAACTCTCTCTACGAAAAGTCTCACAATTCTGAATTGGGACCCAATTATAAGCTAAAATAAAGTCAGTAAAGAGCATACATGTTTCCCCTTCTTAGATAATTCTGATTATTTATAAACTTTTACTTCTACGAAAACTTTTGTTAGCTATGTTCAACTCAGAATGTATGATGTCATGAAAGAGCCCGAAATGAGTCTCAGAATCATAAAGACTCATAAATTTTGAGCTCTCATGAAATTTTTTAAAGATATGTACATACATATATACAAGTTCCGCTAAAGTGTAAGCGCCAAAATATTATTATCCATCCTCTTTACACCACCCAAACTGCAAATCCTTTGCTATAACCGCAGGCGCGTCTTCAGTCACTTCATGACACATTTTTTTTTGCTGAGCCCAGCAAACGTCCTGACCCAGATAAGGGTGGATTTAAAGTTTCATCTTTTGTTGTTATTTATTTTTCTAATATTTTATTTACGCATGTTTTGCCAAGTTTTTTTTTTTTGCATTCTTATCTTATTTGCCACCATTCACGCCTAGGAAAATTTTGCTTACCAATACTTAAAATATGTAATATCGTAAATGCGGTTAATAGCATCACTTTTGTTGTAAGTGAGCTCGACATGCTGTCTTGCTGTCTTGCGGTTGCCTGTGGCGGTCTGGTTTTTCATATTCTTCACATTTTTCCATCAGCTAAATAAGTGTGGTAGAGCAAACAAAGGGGCGGAATGCTGTATGAATTATGCAGACACATGACTTCTTAAATAAAATATATTACTCTAATCTTATCCAATATGTGTCTACTATAGTTTTTTTTATTAATGTGGTTTGATATAATTTGAAAATGCAAATTTCAAGTTGCTGCGGTTTTGTAAGTTTCACTTGATTTTTGCTTGCGGTTACTTGACCATATAGATATTCATTGCATTTTCACATTTTTTAGTTGATGCTGCATTTTTGGCTAAACCAATAAACCAATATACATACATCTAAATTTGCATACAAATTTATTTAAAAATTTTTTAAATTGCAAATGTGGTGATGGCTGAAGTATAGCTTTTTGTGTTTCCCGTAGAAGATTAAATCATATTATCCGTACTAAATTGCTTGTCAGCGTTTGTACGACGGGCATGGGTGGTAACGATTTTTATAGTACAATGCAATAAAATGAAAAAAAAACAAATACTTTCCCTGGGGTCTCATAACATTTTTCCGGCAAATTATGAGAAATTAGAAGATACGTATTTCACCATATATGTATGTATTTGAATAAATTGAACATTACTATTGAACTGATTTTCTAATATTGAAGGGTTTTTACCGCCATATTGGGTCCATCATTTTAAATTTTTCGAACCTGACCACAGATTCGTAATCAACCCCAAGTTCCCCAGATGAAAACACTTCAATCGGATCGAGTCGATATTAATTTTTTTCGGACGCCATATTGGGTTCGCTGTTAAGAATAAAATTAAAGAGTTCCCTATTACATTTTATTTTCTTCGTACCAATTTGATCTAAATTTACTGGGCTATGTAAATAGAAATTTATGTAACTATATATGTCTCCTATATGTGTGTATGTTTTTACACTCCTCACTTCTGATGATTGCTTGTTGAACATTTATTTATAAGCGCGTACGTAAAATTATTGAGAAATATTAAATTTTTATTGCTTTTTGCCAGAATTATTTAAGAAACATAATAATTCTGAATAAAAATTTATAGTGCGTTCAAATTGATAAGTCAAACATGTTAAATGAACAAAATTTTTCGCAAACAAGCAAAATCGCATGCAGTTGTTGTTGGAAAATTTAATCAGTTAAATAATTTAACTCCTGCGAAAACCAGTTCAGCGCAGAGTTGTATCTGAAAGCTTTCATCTTCAGCCAATCAGAAAAAACACAAAAGCTTGCTTTTGACACCCCAGCGATTAAAAATGTAGATTCTCAAAAATATTGAACACATTTTTTTTTCAAAATTAACTCCTGATTTTAATAGTGTTATTGAGCTTTGTACTACAATTATGTTTTTTATGAAAAATGGAAAAGGCAACATATATGTAGCTCGAGCTCGAAGAAATAATTTCATACATATACTGTTACTGCCAAAATTGAGCGTACGGCTCTATTTTTTTTAATATTCGCAATGTTTCACATGCTTAACATTTTTGTTAATTTTGTATTAAAATATGGCTAATATTTTAGCAAACTAAAAACGGACTCAGGTATGCAATTTTATAGCTCATTAAATTTTAGTATAATAATGTACAGATTTTAAATGTCTAAAAAATTGCGTTGATTTTGGGAATTTTTTTTTTGCCGACTGTCCTACGTTATATAAAAATTTTCCCTTTTTTGTTTTTTGTTATTTGAAAAAAGTGTGTAGGATAGCCAGCAAAAAATTTTCAAAAATCAACGCGAATTTTTAGGCATTTGAGATCTGCACATTATTAAACTAAAAAAAAATAATGCGCTATAAAACTGCATACCTGAATTCTTTTTGGAAACTCGTATTAAAAAGTTCGCGATTTTGCTGAAATTTTGAAGACTTTTCTTAATTTTTCTACACAGTATCATTCCTGGATTTAAATAAAATTTGCTAAAATATAAGCCATATTTTAAAACAAAATTAACAAAAAAGAGCCGTACGCTCAATTTCGGGAGTAACAGTATATCGTATGAGGGCGTTTATCCGGTTTGGCTTACGCTCTCTACACTTCTCTGAACCTAAGCCTGAGTATATACAGTATTGGTCATATCTATAGCACGCCATTTCCAAGTGATATTGTGTGCCACTTATGTTTATTTATTTATTTTTAAGAATTTTCAATTAAAATATAGTTCTTTCTCTAACAAAACCCATATAAACCCAAGTTTAACAATTTGTAGAATACTACAAAAAAGTGCAACAAATTTTCATATAAATTTCAAACTTTTTTCTCGGAAGTGTTAGAATTTTTCTGAATACACAGTTTTATAGCTCAATCAATTTTAGTCTGATAATGTGCAAGTTTCAAGTGGCTAAAGATTACCGTTGATTTTTTAGAATTTTTTTCGACAAAGGTGTTGCGGTTTTCTTCCATATACAAATAAATTGAGTTTATTCATTATATGGAAGCCAATGCGACAAAAAAAAACTCGAAAAAATTAACGGGAATTCGTAGCCACTTGAAATTTGCACATTATCAGACTAAAATTGCAGGGGCTAAAAAACTGTGTACTCAAAAAAATTCTAACACTTCCAAGAAAAAAGTTTGAAATTTAGGTGAAATTTTGTTGCACTTTTTTGAAGTTTTCTCCAAATTGCTAAACTTTGGTATATATGGGGTTTGTCTGAGAATGAACTAAGTTTTAATTGAAAATTCTTAAAAATAAATAAATAAACATAAGTGGCACACAATTTCACTTTGAAATGGCGTGCTATAGATATGACCGATACTGTATGTAACGGGTGATTTTTTAAGAGCTTGATAACTTTTTTTTTAAAAAAAACGCATAAAATTTGCAAAATCTCATCGGTTCTTTATTTGAAACGTTAGATTGGTCCATGACATTTACTTTTTGAAGATAATTTCATTTAAATGTTGACCGCGGCTGCGTCTTAGGTGGTCCATTCGGAAAGTCCAATTTTGGGCAACTTTTTCGAGCATTTCGGCCGGAATAGCCCGAATTTCTTCGGAAATGTTGTCTTCCAAAGCTGGAATAGTTGCTGGCTTATTTCTGTAGACTTTAGACTTGACGTAGCCCCACAAAAAATAGTCTAAAGGCGTCAAATCGCATGATCTTGGTGGCCAACTTACCGGTCCATTTCTTGAGATGAATTGTTCTCCGAAGTTTTCCCTCAAAATGGCCATAGAATCGCGAGCTGTGTGGCATGTAGCGCCATCTTGTTGAAACCACATGTCAACCAAGTTCAGTTCTTCCATTTTTGGCAACAAAAAGTTTGTTAGCATCGAACGATAGCGATCGCCATTCACCGTAACGTTGCGTCCAACAGCATCTTTGAAAAAATACGGTCCAATGATTCCACCAGCGTACAAACCACACCAAACAGTGCATTTTTCGGG